CTAACCTCATCCCGCCCCCTTGACCTGTCCATCCTCCCTGGACTGACCTATCTCCTCCCTAACTCCCCACCTACACTCACCTTTACTGGCTCCATTCCTGCCTCTTCGACCTGTTTGTTTCCTCTCCACCTATCCTCTCCTCTATCCATCTTCTATCCGCCTCCCCCTCTCTCCCTATTTATTTCAGAACCCCCTTCCGCTCCCCCATTTCTGATGAAGGGTCTAGGCCCGAAACGTCAGCCTTTCTGCTCCTATGATGCTGCTTAGCCTGCTGTGTTCATCCAGCTCTGCACCTTGTTGTCTCATAAACTTTAATTGAAGAGTTTCCCTTGTGCTGAGTCCATTCCCGATTCCATTCTTTCCCATTTCGGGTTTTCTGTCTCCACCATCGAGAGCAGTGGGTCCAGCTGCCTGGGCCCTAAGGTCTGGAGCTCTCTCCCTCCCTCAATCCATAAATCCCTCTCCACTTCTCTCTGCTCCCTTCAGATGAACGGGATGAAATTTTAAATTTGATGTAATTTTTAAAAAAAATTGCACCTTTAGGAATATTTAAGAATTGCGTTAATCTGGACAGTAGAATGTGTTCAGGAAGTTTATGACACATGGCGTATTGAACAATGAAAGGTTTACACTCTGAAGCAAAGGTTGAAGGCACTTAATGACAGCTGTATTTTGTTTGTGTATCAGGCCTGGTTATTCTGCTCAAACCCCACAAAGATGGAAGGAGTTCACCTCATCCTGCTTTTGCTGTTTGGGATTCCATGCTCTGTCTATGGTAAGGAATATATTAACATTTGATCATTTTTGATTGGATACAACACATCAACCAGGTGTCAACTTGGAACAGTATGTTATTGAGTGAATATTTGAGACCTTAACTGTTGCTTTGGTTCGTTTGCTGTTTTAACAAATTAGAGTCTGGCATTTCCTTAAAATGAACTCATAACCGATAACTGCAATTACAGTGTCTATTGTGTAACGTAACGTATAAGGTGTTGAAGGGACTGAATGCAACAGATACCTGGCTGACATCTCCTCTTGTGTGAGAGAGACTGAAACGGGGGGCACTGTTTAAGATTAAGGGCTCACCCTTTTAAGATGGTGATGAGAATGTTATTGTTTCTCAAGGACAATTTAAAATGTGGAATTTCCTTGCCCAGAAGGTTGTGGAAGCTGAGTCTTTAAGATAGTCATGGCTGAGTTAGGTACAGTTTTTGACTGACAGGTGAGTGGAGGTAATGGGGCAGACAGGAAGGTCTGAACATGACACCACATCAGGTCAGCCATGCTTTTGTCAGGAAATACGGGTTGCTTGTCTTTACAGCTACAGAAATCAACAAAACTGAGTGATATCTTCATCCAACGCAAACGTATTGGAAACGGGTATCAACAGGGATCTGACTGCCTTCATGCACTCAGCGGTGACTAGACCTATCATGGCCTTGGTGATATTCCTCCCTGACAGTATCCTCAGAAACTGCTGCCATTTTCCCAGCTCCTCAGTGTCCGGAATATCCCACAGAGGGTATAGAGGGAGCACGGATGACAGATCAGTGATGATAGCCCAGGACCTCCTCAGTCTCGGCCTGTACTTGGACTCTGACAGCTGTCGATACTGACAGGGAGGAGGCCGCTCGTTTCCCCTACATTCCTGCCCACCTTTCAGGGAAATTGTGGCTCTCCCCCTGGTGGCTCTGTGGCTGGAGGTTCCTGTTGCTGCTGGGTTTGGTGACACCTCATGGTCAGCATCGCCTGGAGGAATCCACTCTGTGCTGGTTCCATCTCAGTTGAGTCAGCAGAAATTCTGTGGACAATGTCAGAAAGAGCACACAATGACAGTGACAATGTTCCTGATCCAAAGAACAAAGAAAAGTACAGCGTAGGAAAAGGCCCTTTGGCCCATGAAGACTGTGCTGACATCTGTACCTTCTCCAAAGCTTCCACATCCTGCTGGTAGTGTGGCGACCGGAACTGAGTACAATATTCCAAATGTGGCCTTACTAAAGCTCCATACAGCTGCAACATGGCTGTATCCCTCACGTTGAATCACAATGAAGTGACTTGTGAGTTTCTCACACAATGTGGGTGGAGTCTTCACCTTTGCAAGGAAGCCAAGGTTATGGTTTGCTATGGTGTTCTGAGCTATATGAGCTAATGGAAATGTATGTTGTAGATCCTCAGATGCTAATGCTTCATTGGGTGGGTTAAGTTCAGACACGGTGGGTTAAGTTCAGACACGCATTGACCCTCAGAAATCCCAACTGAAAAGACAGTTACCCCTGAACACCATAGACCATGTTGATGCATACACAGAGTTAGGTGTGAGAATGAGGCATCCTCTGCAAAGTTTATTACAGTGTAGTGTAGGAGAAGTGACACAAGAATGGCAAAGCCAGTTGAGAATCTTAATGTGCGTCTCCATGGATTTGTGTATCTGACATGACAGGAGGTTAATTAATGCAAAATATGTAACAGTGTGTAACAATATGTATAATATGTAACATGATTGCTTAATGCCAGAATTTGGAATGTTAATTGTCTAGAGGATGACCTTTCAATGAAATCCAATTTGATGGCAAAAGGTTGATATTACAGATTCAGTAATGATTATTGATTCAATTTGATTATACTTGATTCATAATTAATTCATGAGTAGTTGCGTTGCCCCTAGCAGAGCTTGACATTGCAAAGAATGTACTCCACCCCCAAAGTTTGGGGCACGGGGGTTAGTGTGAGTAAAGCAAACACACAGAACAATAAGTGAATCAACAGAAAATGCTGGAGAAATTCTGCAGGTCTGGCAGTATCTGTGGAGACAGAAACAGAGTTAACATTTCAAGTCCTGTATGATTCTTCCTCTGAACAGAATAATGTTGAAAATTGATTCTCACAGTCTTATTATGAAATAATGCTGGTGAATACCTCACCTAGTGTTGTTTCAGTCTGCTGTCAAACTGACCAAATGTCCAGGAGAAAGTCACAGAGTTAAGACACACAGGTAGATGTGGTAAACCAGGTTTCAGGAAAGACACAGCCTCAAGCGAGGAGTAGATTGTCATATGCTTTCACATAACTAATTTACTGGAACTCTTTGAGGACATTACAAGCGAGGTAGACAACGGGGAGCCGGGGGATGTGGTATATCTGGATTTATAGAAGGCATTCGACAAGGAGCCACACAAAGGCTACTGCATAAGATGAAAATGCACGGTGTTATGGGTAATGTATTAGCTTGGATAGAGGATTGGTTAACTAAGAGAAAGCAGAGAGTGGGGATAAATGGGTGTTTTTCTGTTTAGAGATCAATGGATAGTGGTGAGCCTCAGGGACCACAATTGTTTACAATTTATATAAAGGATTTAAAGTTTGGGACCAAGTGTAGTGCGCCAAAGTTTGCAGAAAATAGTAAGATGAGTGGTCGAGCTAAGTGTGCAGAGGACACTGAAAGTCTGCAGATGGATATAGATAGGTGAAAGGAGTGGGCAAGGGTCTGGCAGATGGACCGCAACATTGTTAAATGTGAGGTCAGTCATTTTGGTAGGAATAACAACAAAATGGACTATTATTTAAATGGTGAAAAATTGCAGCACGCAGCTCTGCAGAGAGACCTGGGAGTCCTTGTGCCTGAATCACAAAACGTTGGTTAGCAGGTGCAGCAGGTAATTGTGAAGGGGAATGGAATTTTGTCCTTCATTGCTACAGAGATGGAGTTTAAACACAGGAAGGTTACGCTGCAGCTGTATAGGGTGTTGGTGAGGACATACCTAAAGTATTATGTGCAGTTTTGGTCTCCTTACTTGAGAAGGGATGTATTGGCACTGGAGGGGGTTCAGTCGGATTGATTCTGGAGTTGAGAGGGTTGACTTGTGAGGAGAGATTGAGGAGACTGGGACTATGCTCCATAGAATTTGAAGAATGAGTGGGAAATCTTATAGAAACACATCAAATTACACAGGGAACAAGTAAGATAGAAGCAAGGAGGTTGTTTTCACTGGTGGGTGAAACTAGAACGAGGGGGCATAGCCTCAAAATAAGGGGGAGCAGATGTAGAACTGAGTTGAGGAGGAACTTGTTCACCCAAAGCGTTGTGAATCTGTGGAATTCCCTGCCCAGTGAAGCAGTTGAGGCAACCTCATTAAATGTCTTTAAGGCAAAGGTAGATTTTTGAGCATTAGGTGAATTAAGGGTTACGGTGAGGAGGTGGGTAAGTGGAGCTGAGTCCATGAAAATATCATCCATGATCTTATTGAATGGTGGAGCAGGCTCAATGGGCCAGATGTTCTTATAAATAGTTCAAGCCCCTTCCCAAAATATTAGGATGGTTATACCAATCAAGGGAGTGACTGACACAATATAGTGCAATTTTCCGAAAATAGAGTTTTATCATAAAATTTGTGAAGGCATATAACCATCTTAGATTATGTGGTTCATGACCACAATTATTCAATGAGGGCAATCAATATTCTGTCAGAAATTTTCAGATGGTTTCCTAAGTTTAAGAAAGAGCAGTTTAGAAATGGTACATTAGTAAATTAGACAAAAAAAAACTGATTTGAACCAAACTTTATCACGCAGCAACTAGTTAGGCTATAGAATGTCCTGCCTGGAAATGTGGTGGACGGATATTCATTTGAGACATTCAAGAGTATATTGGATAGTAATGGTATTCTGGCATATAGGGAAAAGGCAGGAGATTGACACAAGGGAATACACCAGTATAGATACGGTGGACTGAATGGCTATCTTCTGTGCTGAAGGAATCTGTGACTGTGATTGATTGTGCTGTTGCTGGAAGTACTTTCTTTCTCCCCATTAGCTGCAACATGCATTTCTTGTTGTACATTTGAAAGGGATTGATTGGTTACAGATTACTTAGCAACAGCTTCAGATATACTCCGATGTAAGGAGAACATATCAATTAAACAAATCTAAACAGATCACAAATTTATTTCAGTGTGATATGAAACAAGACATTATTTACTGTGTTTATCATGTTACAATGGAGTCTGTGATGTTGGGGTGGGGAAAAGCTGTGTGAAGTGGACTTGCTTCAGTTGACAGACTGACCCACTGGAAGTGGTAGCAGAGACTGAGGAAAAGTTTTGTATTCACCTCTGGCTAGGTCGAAAGTGGACATTGGCAGGAATATGATCAGGTCTCTGACTGGGTCCACGTGGGCAGCTCTAGTCTCCTTACCTTCATAGAATCTCTACAGTGTGGAAACAGGCCCTTGCACTACAGGCAATTTAACATGGCCAATTCACCTAATCTGCACATCTTTGGACTGCGGGAGGAAACCCACACAGACACAGGGAGAACGTGCAAACTCCACACAGACAGTTGCCCGAGGCTAGAATCGAACCCAGGTCCCCAGTGCTGTGAGACTGCAGTGCTAACCACTGAGCCACAGAGCCACCCATTTTTTATTTTGTTTTTTATTTAATTGTGTGAGGCCCTGTACTCAGTATGCAGCTTTATTAGATGCAAGTGCAGGCCACAATCAGAGTATTGATGATATGACCTTAAGGAAAGATACTTGCAGAGAGGGAGTGCAACAAAGTTTCACCAAAAAATATTCCTGTAATGGAGGGATTATCCTATGAGGAAAGATCATAGGCCTGTATTTCCTGGAGTGATCTTATTCAAACATGAAAAATTCCAATGTGGATTGACAAGGAAGGATGAATCAATGTTTCTCCTGCTAGGGGTCTCGAACCAGGTGACACAGTCTTAGACTGAGACAGATCGTTTTCTTTATTTAGGAAGGAGACATGGGCATCACTGGCTGAGCCAGCATTTACTGTCTGTTCCTAGTTACCCCTTTAGAAGGTGATGGTGGTGAACAACCTTCTTGAACTGCTGCAGTGTATGGGCTGTCAGTAGATCCACAATGCTGCTAGAGAGGGAGATCCAGAATATGCTGTTCTGGCCATATCTGTGCCCAGGGAACTCTGGTTGGGATCTGTTGCCAGAGGAAGATTGGTGGGTAAACCTGAAAAGAAGGAACTGGAATTCTACCTGAGGAGATCTTAGGCTTTGAAAGAGGTGATAGCTGAGATTTGGATCATTTACACTGCGTGACTGCCTGCCAATTTGTGAGATTGAGCTTTGTTGTATCAGCTACTTAATATGTAATTTATAGATTAATTGGCCACAATATACCAGCTAATTTGTGTCATTTCTGCGTGTTTTGGTTAAATTAACAATGATCGTGTGAAATCTTGTCTTGTCTGTTTGATTAAAAGTGTCATCTAATAACAAAGTGATTTTGAAGTGTAATGATTGAGGTATTTGAGATTTGCAGCAGTTCAATTAGACACTGCCTCTGCAGGTGACTTCCGAGTGAGTGGCCCAGGCCATCCTGTGGTAGCCGTTGTGGGTGAAGATGCTGTTCTGGAATGTTACCTTGTGCCGAAGGTATTTGTCAACAACATGGTGGTGCGCTGGTTTAAATCAGGCATTCGGTTACCAGTTCACTCATACAGAAACGGGCAAGACAACACTGCTGCTCAACATGAGGATTACGAGAAAAGGACTGAACTGTTTAAAGATGAAGTGTCCAAAGGCAATGTTTCTCTTCGAATAAAGAACACAAGGGTGTTTGATGAGGGAAAATACCTGTGCACAGTTGATGACAAAACAACTTTTGAAGAAACTATGATTGAGCTAAAAGTCGGAGGTGAGTGAACACATCTACGACAAATCAGTATCATATCAAATTGATACTTCAGTCAAAATGCAAGTGCTTTTTTATGAAAGTAGTTATTTATCTAGTTAAAATATTTACATGTTGTACATTTCATAATGACAACACTTGCAGCACAGTAAAAAATCCGTAGGCTCTACTATTCCTGTAGCAGGGGAAGATGTACCTGCATGAAGCTGATACAGTAAAAGTTGACGTAGCCAAAAGAGTTTTTTTTTTACTGTTTTAATTTCAGAAGTATACTTTATTCATAAGTTATCTATGAGTAAATACAAGCAGTGCAAAACAGATCTGTACAGACTTTGCAGGAAGTATCGTGGAATTTTGACATTCCTCATTAGAGCTTCAATCCATTGCTACTCACAAAATGGCTGCAGCAAAATGGGTGAATTTGCCAAATCACCACAGCACTTCCTCCCTCCCAGCCTTCCCTTCTAACGTGGGAGTGAGAAGACGTTTCCCCAATTCCTACCACTTCATCCCCAAGATTGATATCCAAGGACTGTAATGACTGGCCAAATCTCTGTTCCATTATGAAAAGGACTCCTTCCCCCATGGTTAGGATGTCGCTAATTCCATACAGTGTAAATTTGTAGAAAGTCTTCCTATCTGTTTTTGTATTTCTCGCATATTTTTCTTGGACTCGAAATTTTACCTTTTTTTACAGTTATCCTTTGCTGATTTCTAAAATGTTCTTGACCTTCAGTCCTCCCGTGAATCTTTGGAACATTGTATGTGTTTACTTTCAATTTGACACTGCCCATAATTACCTTAGTTTGCTGCAGATGGTCTGCTTCAACTCAATCTGTATTCATTTCTTTATAAATGTGTTTAAGACTGTAGTTTTTCACTCACAATCTCAGTATGAAACACTATAATGTTATAATCACTCTTTGCTAGGGAATCCTTTACAATGGGATGTTAAACTAATTGTATCTCAGTCCACCCCCACTTCAATGGTACTCTCTTCCTGGGTGTTGTCGTCAGTTTCCTCATCCTCCCTAAAGCCCCTGCAAGAACCACCAAAGCTGTTGGATAGGTACATGGACTGAGGCTCCTCCCTCAATGTTACCTTCTGGATGTTTAAACTGCCTCATTCCTCCTTCCATCATTCTGTCTCTCACCATGGACCAAATCTGAAGTACCTGACTTATGAGGTATGACTGCCTCCTGAGACAGTGTCAAACTTACATTCTTCCTCCCTGATGCATTGCAGTGTTCGAAGCCTACGTTCCTTGAGCTGCAGACTCTTCCTGCAGATGTGGTTGCTGTGGATCACACTGATGTTCACCAACATCTGCATGCTACAGCTGCAATACAGCTGTCTTGCTATCTTCATCATGTTGTAATTAATTAACACTAACACATCACTGAATGGTATTAACATGTCAGGCTATAAATTTAATGCAGTGTTTCAGTTGCAATGGCCCTAATTTAAATGACTGCCCTAATTTTAGAATAAAAGGAACTGCCAACCAATCACCAACCTGCTGACCTAATTCATGCCTCCAGCTCTCAGCTCTTGGGTCTTACTGACATTTGCTGTCTGTCTCAGGCCACTTCTTGCCTTTTGTTCAAACATCAGAATGATGCCTTGTCCATCAGTGTGCGAAATTTGCTGATTTACCACATTTTCTAAGTGGAGTTCCCTGAAGCTGTATTCTAACAACTTTGGATGTGCATGAATCAAAGTCTCCTGCGTTCAATCTGGCCACAATTTCAAAGAGCTGAATCAGTTTCTGTTTACCTGGCCCAACCAGTCACTTGCTGACTGTGCAGCTGCCTGCAGCTCATGTGCCTCTGATTGTGAAGGAATCTGTAAATTAAGGATAAAGTTAACTTCAATGCCAAGTGCAAAACTTGACTCAGTTTTAGAAACAGATCAACATTTGAGACACTTTGAATTCCCTCAAATATCAGAGTTAGTGCACTGGAGAAGCAAGACTTGGTGAAAATGAACTTTGAGCTCCTCACAGCGCTTATGAAAGTCCGAATACACCACTTCAGTTGTAATGCCCTCATCAAGGTTCTCTTGTTGAATTATTTAATGAGTTAATAAAGTTAAATGCTGATTGCATTTACAGATACAGCTGGCCTGCCTTACTTGATCCATATTTATCTAAGTAACTGTAAATTTTCTCCCAGATTATCAGTTCTAAAAGCCTTCCTGCCACAAAAAATTAAATGGACTGTCCTATAAAATTCACACATTTATAAAAAGGTGTACAATATTTGCACATCTCCACTTCTCTGGAGCCACGACTACAGCTGAGCAGGACTGGATGATAATGGCAGAACCTCAGTAATGTTGGATGTATCCCATCTGGTCACAGTGATTTATCAGTTGAAGTTCAGCCAGCCTATTGAATAGTTTTCCTTTTATTTATTTTTAGCCCATTTATGTCTCAACTACCTCCCCTCTCTCTGGGACTTCATCAGGATCTTCTGCTTTGGCATAACACTCGGAAAATAACTCAGCCATGCCCGTTGTTTCCAGGCATAGATCCCTTTATTATAAAACTGCAGATGATGGAGATCTGAAACAAAGTCCTGATGAGGAGTCACCAGACTCAAAGCATTAACTCTGCTTTCTGTCTACAGATGCTACCATACCTGCTGAGTTTCACCAGCAATTTCTGTCTTTGTTATGGATCCCTTTGTGATCCCTTATCAGCCCAACCCCTCCTCTAAATATCTCTGAGACATTTGGATTCGCTTTTGTTTTAATTTTTGGATCAGTAAATAAAAATACATTTTGCGATGAAATTTAGTACACGTCGTATGAATCATGTCACGGGAATACTCAAGACTATATTATCATTCAATAACAGTAAACGAACATCACTTGTGGGTTAAAAATTGTTTGTGAAAAGTTTAAAAGAGTGTTTGTTGATTACTGTAGCACTGGGACGTGAGCACTGGATCCAGGTCGATGGTTACCGTAAAAATGGAATTCAGCTTCAATGTGAATCTAATGGATGGTTCCCACAGCCCCAGATATCATGGACTGGTGGAAATGGACAGAACCTAACAGCACAGTCTGAAATAAACTATCGACGTGACTCAAAAGGTCTTGTAAATGTCCAGAGCAGTGTAGCTGTAACAAAAGATTCAACAAACAACTTCAAGTGCCTCATACATAACCATCTATTGAAAGAAGAACAAAAAGCAGCAATCCAGATAGCAGGTCAGTAAATGATCAAATACAGCTTTATTTTCAAAATAAACACTGTTGTTCGTGAAATCCAGAAAAGCAAATTACATAGCAGTTGGAATTAAATGGTGCACTGGAGTTCGCTTTTGACTACAGTGTCACACTCTGAGGTGCCTCATTGCACTTACAATTTGAGTTTACATTTACAGTATACATTTGTATTTCATGTTAAACATTCTCTGGTGCAGACAGAAGTAGGCGATGGCCTGATTGTATTATTGCGAGGCTATTAATCCAGAAACCCAGCTCATGTTCTGGGGAACCGTGTTCGAATCCCATCACAGCAGATGGTGGAATTTGAATTCAATAACAAATTTTGAAAAAAGCCTGGAATTAAAAATCTACTGATCACCATGAAATCCTTGCCAGTTGGTGGGAAATTCCCATCTGGTCCACCAATGTCTTTCTGGGAAGGGAAATCTGCCATCCTCACCTGGTCTGGCCTACGTGTGACTCCAGATGTACAGCAATGTGGTTGGCTGTCACTTGCCCTCTGAAATGGCCGAGCAAGCCACTCAGTTATATCAATCGCTACAAAGTCTCAAAGAAATGAAACCGGACGGATCACCTGGCATCGACTGAGGCACCGGAAAAGACAATGGCAGAAACAGTCCTCTTGACCCTGCAAGGTCCTCCTCACTAACACCTGGGGGCGATTGCCAAAATTGGGAGAACTGCCTCACACACGAGTTAAGCAACAGCCCGATATAGTCATACTCACAGAATCATACCTTGCAGACAATGTCCCAGACACCACCATCACCATCCTTGGATATGACCTGTCCCACTGACAGGACAGAGGTAGTGGCACAGAGGTATACATCAGGAAAGTGTTGCTCTGGGAGTCCTTAATATTGACTTGGGGCCCCGTGAAGTCTCATGGCTTCCGGTTAAACATGAGCAAGGAAACGTCCTGCTGATTACCACGTACCGTCCTCCCTCAGCTGATGAATCAGTCCTCCTCCATGTTAAACAACACA